CATGGCTATACATGACCGTGCCCAGACGCGCATAGCCATACATAGCCGTGCATGGCCGTAGGTAGCCGTGCATAGCCGTACATAGCTGTGCATGGCCTTACATAGCGTGCCTAGACGTACATAGTCGTAGGTAGCCGTGCATGCCCATACATAGCCGTACATGGTCGTAGGTAGCCATGCATAGCCGTACATAGCTGTGCATGGCCGTAAGTAGCCGTGCCTAGACGTACATAGCCGTAGGTAGCCGTGCATAGCCGTACATGGCTGTGCATAGCCCTGCAAAGCCGTACGTAAACGTAAATAGCCGTAAATAGCCGTGCATGGCCGTACATAACAGTAAATACCCGTGCATGGCCGTATATAGCTGTGCATAGCCGTGCATAGCCGTATTTAGCCGTGCATAGCTGTACATAGCGTTACATACCCGTACATAGCCTTACATAGCTCAGCAAAGCCGTACATAGAGGTGAAAAGCCGTGCATGGCCGTAGCCGTGGCTGGCTGTGCATGGCCATAAATAGCCGTGCATGGCCGTAGGTAGCTGTACATAGCTGTGCATGGCCGTAAATAGCGTGCCTAGACGTACATAGCCGTAGGTAGCCGTGCATAGCCGTACATGGCCGTAGGTAGCCATGCATAGCCGTACATAGCTTTGCATGGCCGTACATAGCCGTGCCTAGACGTACATAGCCGTAGGTAGCCGTGCATAGCCGTACATAGCCGTGCAAGGCCATACATAGCCGTACATGGCCGTAAATGGGCCGTGCATAGCCGTACAAAGCCGTACTAACTGTAAAAACCCCGCACATAGCCATGCATGGCTGACATAGACGTGCATAGCCGTAAATAACCGTATATAGCCGTTAATAACCCTACATAGCCATACATAGCAATATATAGCTGTTAATGGCCGGACATAGCCATGCATAGTTGTGCATAGCCGTACATAACCGTACATAGCCGTACATAGCCGTGCATGGCCATATATAGCCGTGCATAGTCGTGCATAGCCGTACATTGTCACCCATGGTCGTACAATGCCGTGCATGGCCGTACACTGCCGTACATAGCCGTGCGTAGCCGTACCTAGCCGTTTGCATGGCCCTTAGGGATAACATACTTAATTGTAAAGTTATTTGATATAAGATTACCGTGGGTAAATAAAGTTTTCACTCACTCACTGTATAGCCGTGCATGACCGTACAGCAATGTGGGGATAGGCAGGGCTTTGTAGGGCTTATGTACGCCTATACAGGACTATTCCCTGCTTTGTACGGCTATTAACGGCCATGTACTGCTCTGCAAGGCTATGTGCGACCTTGCATTGCTGTGCACGGCTATGTACGGCTTTGTACAGCTACGTTACGGCTATACACGGTTATACACGACTATCTACGGCAATGTACGGCCGCGCACTGCTGTGTACGGGAATGCACGGCTGTGCACGGCTATGCACGGCTATTTTGGGCTTACGTACAGCTATGCGCGTCTATTCCCCCTGCTTTCTACGGCTATGCACGGCTATGTACAAACGTTCTAGCTAGAAAACCAGTCTTTAAGAGCTAGGTAGGGGTATATAGGAATATGAAGTGCTATGTACGGCCATGTAGGGCTATGTAGGGCTATATAGGGCTATGAAGTGCTATTTAGTATAGAGCTGGGAACAGTTACATTGCATATTAAGTAATGTGAAATCACTATATGATGGTTACACCAGTTACCTACCGCGGGGTGTGGTGATTCTTCGGCTCACAGCTCGGTTTATTCTTAGACCAATCAGCTGTGTTTGGTATCTTTTGGTTGAGACTTTTTAAAACTTGATGGCTTCTAAAAGAAGCCGTTGTTTTTTTCCGTTAAGTATCAACTTAGTTTTAAAAGTTTTATTTAGTTCTCGTTAAGTTTTCTATAACGATATATTATTTTACACGGGTTGCCTCTTTAAAACAGCTTTCAAAAATAATTTCACCGGCCAAGCGTTGTTTCCACATAAACCATGATCTCTATGCTGAACCATGTTTTGGCCCTACTTGGGCCTTTAATTATGTATTTACTTTAAAATAGTTTGCAACGCTGGCTATTAATACGAATTCGTGCAGCGGGACTAAAGTACCCCTTACTAGCTGCAAAGTCCTTAGTTTTGACGCAAAAACCTTCCGTACGTATTTGCTACGGTAGCAAATACTCACTTACGTAGCAAATACCTACCTGTAAGTATTTGCTACCGTAGCAAATACCTACCTCGAGTAGCAAATACCTACCAGTGAGTATTTGCTACCGTAGCAAATACTCACTTAGGTAGCAAATACCTACCGGTGAGTGTTGCTACCGTAGCAAATACTCACTTGGGTAGCAAATACCTACTAGTGAGTATTTGCTACCGTAGCAAATACCTATCGATCGTAGCAAATACGCACATGTATCTGCCTCTCTCTCTCTCTCTCTCTCTCTCTCTCTCTCTCTCTCTCTCTCTCTCTCTCTCTCTCTCTCTCTCCTCCCTCTCCCTCTCTCTCTTTGCTTTCAACGTTGTTGTCGCTAGGTACCGCATAATCAGGACTGTGTTGTTATTATCATGGACGGTTATGTAAGGCCTACGGTGATTCAGCTCATGATCAGTTTGTATGGTAAAATCCCATAATATTTTCATTTCTTCATTCTCAGTTATCCCTACAGGGCTATGTTCGTACACTTGCTGTCGATACCTGTCACCATGTATAGATGCATTCGGTGCAGAGGCGTATCCAGTGTATTTTTTCATATTTCATGAAAAAAAGATGGACGATTAACTTGAAATTTACAAAGTAAACTTAATTAGGGGATACTTAAGTAGCTTTTCAAGAGCTATGTTACGGTGTTCAAGAACAAGAGAAGATACAAGTAATAAACGTGAAAAAACCCTGCAGTGGTATGGTTGTAGAGCTGTTTTAAAAATTTACCCTTCAACAGTCACAACAATAGATCGCAGTCACAGATTCGGGGCTGAAATCATGCAATCACGTGGGCTATTTTTAGATAATCAATATACTGATTCAGTTATTTTAATTTGTTTCAAACTCTGTCATACATCCCACCCAAAAGAAAGGAAAATAACATTTTAACCAAGGATATTGAACCTCAAAGATATAACAGCATCTACAATGATCGCATTAATATAAAACGAGAGGGAAAAAAGTTCTTAAGTGCATTTCGTAAAAGCTATCTGTCACTTTTTCCTCAAAGAAATTTAAAGGTCATTATAAATTTCAAATTGTTTTCTAAACTTAAAGTTTGCAACTTCGTGAAAGGAAAGGCAAAAAGTCATTTTCAGTGAATAAACATCTGGTTGCTAATTTTTTATTTTTGAGACAATTGTGTTCTTTAAGTTCAAATAAAAGGCAACCGTAAGTGCTTTCCTTTGTGTGGTTAGCGGGCAGGTGTCAAAATCTTGGTTTTAATTTGTATCGCTTTAAAATCGTCTGTAGCTTTGTTTTGAACCGTTCGCTTGAAACAAACTAAAACCTTCAAGGATAGGGTTACTTTAACGAGTCACAACTTTGAAAGAAGTTATTGCATGATATGATACTTTTCCACCAATGGAAAAAACTGGCGATGATCAAAGAAGTTTCCTTGAGGTCATAATACACACTGCTATTCTCACTTTAACTTCCATTTTGTCACTGGCAGGAAATTCTCTAATTTGTCTCGCATTCTACCGAAACAGGAGATTACGGACTATCACCAATTTCTACGTACTATCTTTGGCAGTAGCGGACATGACGATGGCTGTATTCTACTTTCCTTTCGGGGCAGTGGCTTCTAGTTTACACAAATGGCCATTTACCAAATGTTACTGTCATTTTACCAGCTTTCTCGGTGCTTCTTGGGCCCAGATATCAACTTTTACCTTGGCACTCGCATCGTTGAATCGATACTTTTGCGTCGTAAAGCCTCACAGATATTCAACATTGTTTACCAGGAAGAAAGCAATCATTTCGATTGTTGCTGTATGGCTTTTTTCATGGGCTCTTACTCCATTGTTTTTTGCAGCTAATCCTATTTATGAATGGTCTCCAATTTTCTTGAATTGTCGAGCAATTTTCAAAGATGAGCAGGCGATGAGGATTTCTTATCTATCCTTTGGATGTCTCTTTATAGTTCCCATGTTACTGGTGATACTATGTTACAGCAGTATTCATCACGTTATAAGGCACCACAACAACGCAATCGTTCCATCTCTGCAACAAAATAACAGCCAAGCGACGAGAATTCAAGACATTAAGACCTGTCGGGTGGTGTTTGTCGCTGTTTTAGGATTTTGCCTTTGCTGGAGTCCCTTTATCTCCACAATGGTTTTGGAGTTTGGTTTTCAAATACCTATTTATCCTTCTGTGCTCTCGATTTGCTTCCTACTTACCTCGGCCTCGGCTTACATTAATCCTCTAATTTACGGTGTCATGAACCAAACTATGAGAGTGGAGTTTCTGAAGATATTGTTATTAAGAAGTGGATAGGTGATCCTTTCACTAATTTTTTTCTCGCATCTACCCTTTTGACTTCCTCCAGCTTTCGCCTTAGAGGTCTACAGTGTGCAAACAACCAACATTTGTCAATTACGTCCGCCTTAGACAGGGATCCCCTTTGATAAACCACAAGTGACTCTCCATCTGTCATCGTCCAGCCAGTAATTGCGCCTGAATTTTTATTATGTGAGAGAGATTTAAAAAGGGATTCGATGTATATTCTGCATGCTACGATCATTTATGTGGAATCTAATGTTACTAGAAGTTTGTTAAAAAAAGACAACCTACACTGCATTAGTAATCTCAGCCAAACCCATGGCAACTAATATAATCCAAAAGAAAACCCAGTTTATTGGAGTGCCAGACTTTGAGAACACTGTATTGGTCCGGCCCCGAGACCGAACCCACGACCTTCTGGTATATCATTCTGCGGTACAGCACACTTCTGGTCAAAGATACTTTCGAAATATCAAATTTTCAGTTCTAAACTCCATTTTATTAATTTCTTGAAACTGATTAACATGGTGAAAATTCCAAACTTAACATTGATTTTGCTACTGAGCATGACTTTATCTTACATTTCATTCACAAACCCCAGTTGTAAAGCAAACAACTGAAAGGAAGTTTAGACAAGTGATCTTTTGCTATATACAATTTAAATATACTTGAAGCAAATAAACGGCAAAAACCACATAAGCGAGTTTGCCTCTGCTAGTTAACGAAAATGGTGGTTCTGAGCACGGCTCTGCGCGCAAAGGCAGTGTTTACACTTAGAGCCCAAGCACGATGCCCAAGTAAGGTACTCGCTGGGCACTTCGCTGCCAACACACCAGGATTCGGGCGCGGTGCCGGTACCAGAATGGGAGTTCCAGACCTTGTACTCGGGAACTAATGGTGGCACTGGGTAACTGTGTTCACACGTTTTCTGTTAGTTCCGAGGAAATTTACTGCTTTGTAAAAAAAACATGTTACAGTTCTATGTCAGGTACCCAAAGTGGGAACACAACATCATTTCAAGCCGTTACCCAGACATTAGTGCTCGGGCACCACGTGTGAACAGCCCCAAAGTTGCAAAGGAGTTTTTCTAGACGCTGTTTAGTTACACAAGACTTGCTGTGATGAAAGTGATGCTACCGAAAATTTCTTCTAAGAGAACTCCAGCGCCCTGCAGTCTTCATTTACTTTTTAAATAAAAACGAAAGGTAAGAACTCGATAGGAGGCTAGTTCCAAATACACAGTTGTTTTACTCTAATCTTTTGAGCCTGTCTTCAAGTACTCCGAGGGGTCTTTGATCACCTTCACCTCTGTAGCGGCAATGCTTTGTGAGCACATTGGACAAAGTGTTTCACCAGACTCAAGAAGACTATAATGGAAAATAATAAAGAGAGGAAAGGGTCGAGGTAAGTATAGAGCGTGGTATGTACAGAGGTGGCCAGCCACTATGTAAATTTATAAAGTAAAGTAAACCATCTACATGAGAAAAGAGTTTAACTCCCACAGGATTTTCTTGGTACACCAATATGGCCGCCGTGACGTCATGTGAAAAACGAGAAGAAGACCTGTTTATTAATCTGTGTATTGTGTATTTTCAAATTTCAAACACCTACTTGCCGGAATCAGTTGTGAATATTTTCCTTTATGAGGAGGCTAACCCTGTATCAATGTGTCCTTAATGTTTGTATTGAGCGGTAATTTTTATTCGAAAAAGGACTTGTGTTTGTGAGATATTTATGGGCCCATAGAAGTGCTTTTGAATCATGATCAGGTGAATTTCTTTTTTCAGTATGAGCGATACTCCATTCAGTTAGAAAACGTGAAATTAAAGAACAGTAGGAACCATGGCATTTACAGCACTAGAGATTATCCCGGTTCTGGCAGCATGACGCTGCTGGGAGTATCGCTACTCGTTCTCGGATGGGAGGCAAGTCCCTCACAGGGTTACCACCCGCAGTATGTTGCCGGTAACCATTTATACACCTGTGTGAAGGGATACAAAGCAAGGAGCAGAGTTTCTTTTCAGGAAAAAAAAACGCCATGATAAGCTCAAACCCCAGACCCACAGAACCTTAGCACCGGCGGATCTAGAAGAGGGATAAGAGAGGACCGGGCCCCCGCCTTATTTTTGGGCCAAACTGAAGCCTACAGGGCCGGGAAGTATTATTTTCTCGAGGCCAGAGGCCCCTTTTACCTTACATTCTGAATGAGCGGATCCCTCACTTGCTCACTTGTCTTTTCCTTCCCTGCTGTGTTTATTTAACAAGAAAAACGGTTTCAAGTATTACAGTATACATACCTCATAAGTTCGGAGTGAAGAGCTGGGAAGGAACAATTTGGGCACACAGTCCAGTTATCCTTCACCATGTGCCGGCCCTAGAATTAAAAATAACGCCTATTTATTCATTTATGGAAATAAAAGATGACTAAGTCTGAAGTTGACTCACTGCACAGCAACTTGCGCCATAAAACGAACATTCGCAATCCTTTCCTTACGAGACAGCGTGGTCAGAAAGCTGAACTCGCAATCCAGTGCTGCCGCTCTCAATGATCACTTTGACCAACAGCTGGATTTGTTTACCGGTATACTCCAGCTTAACACCTTGGCTTATTTCCTAAATAGCCAAATGGTTTTCCTCCTACCAGGAGGGATTCTTTCACATTGCCCATAGTAGACCTTGTTTACCCCCCCCCCCCCCCCCCCCAAAAAAATTGCATAACTATTGTTTCCAATTTCTCCTGGGTATCACAGGCGTCCCCAGAGAAATCGAAGACAATGGTTATGCAAATTCTTGGGCAAACAAGGTGTATTATGGGCAACGTGAAAATAGTGAAAATTGTTATGTTGAATTTGAGTCATTTCCCAGCCAAATGGCTATTTTAAGGTTGCGCATGAGACCGTAATACCGAGGAAACATTGGAAACAATGTTTATTTGGGGGTACATGTTGTGCATTATGTTAAAATGATGAATTACTTTATATGTCTATGGCTGCGTTTACGCTTGGTGCTTGAGTACGGTACTCAACGGTCACTTAAGTGCTCAAAGGGTCGGGTTCGATCCACGTGCAAACGTTTTCTGTTAGTTCCAAGCTATTCCACTACTTTGGATAGTCCCTGCTAAGCTCAAGCTCGGGGGAAATTGAGCAAATATGTACACAGTTACATATCGGGTATCTTAACTTTTAACACAACACCATTTTGTGCTGGTACCTTGGCACTTGTGGTCGGGCACCAAGTGAGAACTCAGCCTGAGTCTACAATTCCTTAACTTACCGTAATAATGCAGTATGGTATGGTGTTCTTACATTCTGGACAGTCTAGTTTTGTCTGAGGTACTTCATTGCTACAATAAGGACACGGGTCTTGGGCTTCTTCTTCTTCTGTTTTATCAGGTTTTCTGAAATCGCCAGAGCAAACCATTTGCGTGAAAAAGAAGACCGCGCGCAAGCATGAAATATTAACAAGAAATAATGTTCCTGGAATTTATTTTGATTCACAAGGCGGCTCGAGATTCGAGAAAGAAAAATCTTTGTGATTTTGCTGACGTCTGCTGTCCGCTGTCTGATGTCTGAAGACTGTTGTCTGTACGTCTGTCTATCTGTCTGTCTGTCGGATATCTACCTTTCTGATGTCTCATATCTGACCTCTGCTGTTCTGTCTGTTCCGCTGTTTGCTGTCTGTTGCCTGACGTCTTGTGATATCTTCTGTCTGATGTCAGCTGTTTATTGTCTGATGTCTGCTGTTTGCTGTCTGCATATTTTTGATATGTTATGTCTGCTATTGCCGGCTGCTGTCTTTTGTCTGATGTCTCTTATCTGATGCCAGATGTCTGCTACATGTCTGTTGATAATTATGTTATGTCTACTATCTGCTGTCTGTTGTCTCTTATCTGATGCCCGATGTCTCCTGTCTTTTGCCTGCTGTTTGATGTCTGATGTCTGCTGTCTCCGTGTCTTTTGATATATTTTGTCCGCTATCTGCTACCTGTTGTCTGATGCCTCTTATCTGACGCCAGATGTCTGCTGTCTAATATCCTTTGCCTGCTGTCTGCTGTTTATGTCTGTTGTCTGTTGTCTGCTGTCTGCATGTCTTATTCTGATGTCAGTGCCGCATACATGCCTTATGTCTAATGTTAAATCGAGGGAAATTCTGCCTGTAATACGACCATTTATCGCACATAGACTTTTGTTTGCTTTCTTACAAGGAGAGCCAGTTAATGAAAACGGGATCAATTGGCGTTTCTGGGTAACCGAACACCTACCCCTTCCCTCAGTCCCAATTTTGCCCTAAGTGAGAAGTAGGTGTTGACTTAGGGAAGGGGTAGGAGGTGAGTTACCCAGAAACAACCACTTTGCGCAACTTGAGGTGAACGTTTTATAGTTGCTACTCAATCTAGCGAAACCTCTGGTCTCTGCTGAAGACAAACAGCACAAATTACCTGACAATTTGTTCAATCTTCTTTTTGTACTTGAGATCAATCTTTTGTCGATACTCGGGCCTCATCAACATGGCAGCGTAGCTGAACGAAGAGTTCTTCAGTCCTGAACGATGACACTCAATCACAGTGGACGTTAGAATAGGAACCACATCTAGTTTAGCAAAAAAGATATATGCGGACATCTCTTTATGTACAGAAGAGAACGAACTAAATAGGAAGGATTCTTAGTCCAAGACCAAATCTCGAACTTTTCATGAGACGAACCGAACTGCCCTTTGGGTCGACCGTAATTTAGTAAAGTTCGACTGCTGGATAAACGTCGAGCATGACTGAACGTCGAACTACGATAAACAGAAAAATAAGAGAGCTCGAAAAAAGTTTATAGTCGTGCGGAAGAATCACACTAGCCATAATATTTTTTGGGCAATTTTTGCACCCCAAAAAGTGCTCGCGATCGCTGACAAGAATTGGTGAGAAGTTCCATCTATAGGGCTTCGAGTCAGCATTTGCAAAATTTGGTGTTTTGGATAGGTGATCGCTCATGGGAGGTGTTCGCTTCATGTGATGATCAGACATCAGACATGAAGTAAAGGAATCACTTACGTGCGGGGAATTTGCTGATATTATTCGCCACTCTGATTAACATCCGGGCACCTTTCAAGTGATCGCCACGCTTCACATGAAGCTGGAAGAACACGGGACAGAAAAAGAAAAAAAAAATAAGAAATTGTGCAGAGACACAAAACAACAACAGGGGAGAGGGGGGTTTCTAAGAGTAAAATCCATGCAACAGCCCTCTCTTAAGTAAGCGAAAAGAATCTGCAAAAACAACCGCACCTAGTTAGCTTAGTTCGGAGAGCGCCGGTCTGCTGCTGAGCGGGAGGTCGCGGGTTCAAACCCCGGCCGGACAAACACTCAGGGTCTTTAAATAACTGAGGAGAAAGTGCTGCCTTTGTAATGACATCTCGAAAGAAGTTAGACTTTCTACTCTCGGATAAGGAGGAAAAACCGTAGGTCCTGTCTCACAACACTCACACTTATCTGGTTCTTGTGGGACGTAAAAGAACCCACACCACTGTTTGAAAAGAGTAGGGGACGTAGACCCCGGTGGTATAGCCAGCCTCTCCTGGGCTGGGTAGGTTATCTGTAAGGACAGTCTTAAATTGAAGCCCCGCTCTGTTGTGGGTTCCGCACCATATAGTCGAAGTGATTGAATAAACAGATATATAAATAAGCAAACAAACAAGCTTATAGAACAAGACGAAGCGGATATGAAGACATTCTCTCCAACCTTGACTAGAATGTAGCTGTGAAGGATCATCAGATTCTGTATCATTTCCGTGGGAATCTTGATGTTGTGATCAGTCAGCTCTAAAACAAAACAAGAACAACATCTGAAGCCGATAATATAGTAGAAACTAAAGGTGTGTCAGAAACAAAAATCATTCTAGCTCAACATTAACGTCAGCTTTGCGAACAAACAAGTCCCAACAGTTCTAGTCTTGGTGCCAACAAAGTCATTCATCCACTATGTAGTAATCCAAAGAAAAATGACGAGACTCCAAACGAGATTTGCGCCACGTGACCAAGTTTTCTCTTAACTTATGCTATACCTTTCATTACTTCCACCACCAAATTAGTAGCTTTCCAGTAGTTCTGTCTACAACGATGGTTTTAGACTGTTTTTAGCTGCACGTTTTCTATTTTGAGAAATTATCAACATGGATCTGGCGTTTGCCGCTTTCCGTAAACGTCATTCTAAATCTCTCTAATAATGTCCAAATTCTCGATCAGGCAGAGGGTACCACTGACAACAAGCAGCCTCGTTTTGATCTTGACCTTATTCCCAGAGGCCACGAAGAAGAAAAAATTTAGAAAACAGTTCGAGCTTAACTAACCCCTGTACATGCTGAATAGAACATCATGTGCATTTCTGTAGTTCCCAGCGTTCTGATCTTCCCGCGCAATGATGATCGCTGTGCGCGCTGCCTCACGGTATTGTTTTAACGCCATATAAAGACGGAAGAGGTATTTTGCTTCCTGAAATGCAAGAATGAAAATTATACTTAGCAATGTAACAATGGAAAGGAATGGAATGGAATGGTCCGGTCAAAAAGACAGGTCACAGCAATTCTTTTTTCTTAGTCCGTCCACCGAAGGGCGCGAGAAAAAAAATGGCCGGGGCGGTGAGCGACTTTGCGGCCGCGGGAGGGGGACGCGCGCGCCCCTTCGTAACTTGTGGCTCGGTTCTTACCGTCAGAGCGAAAGTTAAACTAGTTCAAGGCCAATTTACCTTAGGTATCCCGTCAGCTTCTCCCATAAGGAAGTCAATCAGTTGATGTGTCAACACCTCGTCCGCAGCCTGACCAACCTGAAATATATACAAGGCAATCGCAAATAAGTTGTAGTTGGTAACATGTAACTGTATGACTGGCTGGCTGACTGACTGACTAAGTGAACGACAGCCGCAACCCATGTTTGCACACACCAACCAGTCGACCGACTACTAGACTGATTTGCCGTTACGATGGAGTAGCGCTCGCAACGTCAGCTTTTAAATCTCTTTGCGCTGATACATTATCTTTATGAACTCGTTTGATAACTGACTTATTGATTTTCACTCCCCCACTGTCCCTTGAGTCCTTTTATCTCAGGCGCACCAAGCTCAAGGGAGAGGATCATTGTCGCATGAAAGACAATATATGGAGTTGCGTGAAAATTCTGACGAGCGGCCCGACCAAACTTTTTGCCGTTGAACGCGCCAAAACACAGCGGCTAGGTAAAGCATTCTGCTCTATGCTTATTACTTACAACTCCCAAATAGCGTTCGCTAAAATTCCCATATTAATTCCATCCCCATCCTAGGGTGAGACGATTCTCACAAGTGAGCTTGAGCTTGCTACCTGTGGACTGACCTTTCCACTTTTCTATTTCATACATCTGATTTTTTGTCGTCTAATATAAAGTGGCAGAGTCACGCCTAACAACTACACTGATTGAATAAATCTATACAATTTTCTGCTGAGTAATATTACACTATTGCGGTATATTAGACGTGCGCATATAAAACTTTATAAACACAGTTGGTAAAACCAAACTCTTGTATAGAAAATTCTTACTGTCTCGATGGCCAACTCGATCGATTCACCGTCTTCTCCTACGGGGCATTTTAGGAAGTGTTTCAAGGCCTACACAGAAACAAATAGTTTAGTTTAATCATCACGTTGCCTTGTCAACTTACAAAAGACAAGCAGTTTCTTCTTTGTCTACAAACACTGTTCTTTATACCATTTACTCCAAAGCTAACATGGTGGCAAAGAACATACAATGTTCCTTTCCATTACCCTTTTAATTTTTTGGTAATTCTGTGAAACAACGCTGTTGGTGGTGTCGACCACAGGACTCTTACACGACAACGACGACGGGAGCCGAGTAGAAATTTATACGGAGAAACGTTGAATTAAGGAAGGCCTTACTGACATGTCTGGGAACGAATGCAGACGAGATGGATTATCTCCACACAATGTCCTTCCCATGAACAAAGGTTCAACGAAACAATAAAAATTCAGTCAAACATGGAACAACATGATACTCAAAAGCACAGTGTCCATTGGACACAAATTAAACAGTAAGGAAAAAAAAAAAACAATAACAGTTTAGTCTCCATGAAGACCGTTCTCTTCGTATTGGAAATATTCTTATTGAGTCCTTAGGGAAATGCATGGCCCTTGATCAGCACGTACTGCACTTTATTATCTTTACTTCTTACTGAGATGCTGCACAGGTTATTCGGTAGAAAACTGTTTATCTTTACCCACAGACATGTTCTTCTAACTGCCTTCTTACCTTAGCATATTGTTTGGACTTTAAGAAAAACTTTCCCGCGAGGAAGTATTGTTTTTGGTTCTCGAAATACAAAGCGATACTGGCATAGTCGTCTGCTACGGCATCGTCACCTGTTAATTAAAGCAACAACAGGCTAGGAGAACTGATTTCAGTATTTTAGATAGGTAATCGGGTATTAGAGGATGCCGTGCACGGAGGTTGAATTGTATATCGATGGGATAAACAAAGATCGTGTAACACAGAACTGATGTCCTCGAAGTTGAATGAGGCTGGCCAAGATATTTTTCTCGTCTAAATACAAAACGACTTCGCCACTACAAAGAAGTACAGAACTACTCCTTGCTGTGGTCCGCTTCAAGCCAAGCATTATGAACAAACCCTGCCCACAACTGGCCACATAGCTCAACCACTGAATACCGACAAGAGCATTTTTTTCCTGCTAATTACGTAGTAAAACGTAAGAAAATATGATATCCATTTATACACACTTACCAATTATTTCAGCGTACTGTTCCATCTGATTGTGAGCCTATAAAAACCATGAAAACCAGAATTTGATTTTTTTAAATGTTTTATTTTACAAAGAGGTACATAATTACGTCATAAGGAATTAGAATTTTGAATTTACAGCTGATCGCACCTTAACCCTAAAATAATTAACTTTTCAGTTTCTTCCGTTCAGTCGCACTTCATATCCGACACTCCCACGCTAATTTCTTGACCAATCATAACTCGCCCGGCAAGATCTTCTAGCGTTTGACGCCGCTTACAAGTGTTTAGCTCATTGGTTCATTTTGTGTCATTAAGTATTCTGACTGACTAGAAAATAACAATTTATTTTGGTAAAACCACTTAATTGAAGTTCCTTCTGAAAACCAAATAGGCCATTATGCGTTACTATGGGACGCCTTTCAAAAAGAAGGCAAGACTTTGATATGAGAAAAACTTTCTATTTTGACTGAAAAAAAAACATAGTCTCACATGGAAAAGAACGGTTTTGCTCTTTGCCTAATTTTGAAAATGAGGGTTTTAAAGCTCGGAAATGGTGAACCTATATCTTGGTCGTAGAATAACACAATGAAATGAAAAGCTTCCTACATACCTGAGCAAGCTGAAACGCTTCATCGTTACACCTCGACAAAACAAGAAACTGGATTGCGGAAGCAAAATCGCCGAGTTTCTGAAAGAATCTGTCGAAAAATGCAAGATAAGAAAAAATGATTCAATTTCATTATATCTTGCTTGTTTAGAGAGTTGAGTGACTCATGGTTTGAAACGACGTATACTATATAATCGAGGTAGATTTTAGTGAGGAAACTATGCTCTTAAAGACCTTTGAGGTAGTATCCAGTCCAAATGGCAACACAATTCAATGCGGTGGAACAATAGGAAAACGCTTAGCGTTGCCTTTGACCTTTCCCTTAAAGAACTATCTCCCTTACTCTTCCCTGTATCACGAGTGATTAAATCGGATTTGTTACGTTCCACTGATACATGCATGCCAGCTCGGTGTTTAACCTTTTTGCCCCAAAGGTGCCAAAACTCATAATAGGCCAATCTCTATATATTAACATGCACACCTGGCCTCCACTTGGCTTACCACGAGGTTCAAGGCTGGGCTGAACAAAGCACTTCTTTTGATTTATTTTTGACCACAAATGAGAGTTAAAACCGCTTACGACGTCTTCGTAATTGATTCAAGTGTTAAAACAGTTCTGTCAGTAACAAAGTGGGAAAAGAAATTCTCACCTGGCTACCATTTTAGCTCCCTCAACAGATTGTGTCTCCTTCACAATCCTTACGGCTTCTTCAGGATTTTGCAAGTGATCAAGGTTTATTCTAAGGAAAAAAGGACGAAATGAAAAACAGAGGAAAGCTTGAATTTAAGGAAAAGGCTTTCCGTAGTTAAAAATAAGTGTAAAAATAATCCAGCGTTTAAAGATCAGGAGTTATTGGCAATTACAGACGATTACAGTTTCGCATCATGTTGTGCATTTTTACCAGGTATAAACCAACTGGGGCCGCGCAACATTGTGATGGGAATCCAAGACACGAATCGGATACATGTAATGGACGCAAACACCCAATCAACTATACTGATGATTTAAGCGTGTCATAGGTTTGACACACGATTGATTAGCGACAGCATGGTAACACATTGCAATGCAACAAAGTTGTACAGCCACCTATACCGTCAGTCCTGTGAGACGCCCAAGTCTATTTTATTCCGGATTCCCCATCAGTCCATAAGTGCTAACAAGAAGGCAAATTAAGTCAATCAAATGCATACCTGATGACACTGTCATAATCTTTGGCTGCCTCGTAAGCAGCAGCGGCCTCCTTGTATTTCCCGTCAGCCTCCTTAGCCTTAGCGTACTGAGCATGAAGTTTTGGTGATGTCACGTTTGCTAGCAGTTCACCGACCTTGGCCCTAGGAAGTTTACACTAATTAATGCATATCTAAACGGTTGTAAAAATACGATTCTCGTATCATAGCGACTCGGAGAGCATTTGAGGACTGCACGATCAAGATCTGGGAGGAATAACAGAGTACTGGTAACCTGGTGGCACAACTCGCTCTTCCATCTCGTATGAAAGAACATTTTGGACTTTGGATGACGTCATCCACAAATCCCCCAAAACTAAAAAATTATCCCATGAATTGACAAAGGCAGTATTTAAAACGGCAGTTAGAGAAAGAAAACGAAACAAAAAGAAACGAAATCACCCAAATCGGCGAGGTGTTCACTGTTTCTTAACGTATGCAAATGCGATAAGATTTTTAAGCGGTGCTGACTGCTTAAAAGAAAATCCACAACAATTTGAAAACGCCGAAACGTTTCTTAAGGCAAATGCCTTTATATTTAAAGCAGCATTTTTCCAGCACCTGCCTTTGCTTTCTCGCCAATGATACGTACGATACTTACCAGTTTTTTGTTTTGATGTATACAGTAGCAGCCTTTTCCCAGTACTGTCCTTTCTCGAAGAGCAAAGCAGACTCGGAATATTGCTGAGAGAAAAAAAAAACAGCTGGGATTTAGAATTATAGTCAAGCCATATGGTGGAAAAATTGTGCACTCTGGGGTAAAAGCACCAAATTTGGCATGGTAATAGTACTTAGGCTGCTGAACAATATTCGCTATGGACCCCAGTCAGGGGGGACATTTTGTACTCAGGGGGGTGGGGTGGTTGCAGTTTCCAATTTAACTGCCGTTATTGAAAAGAAAGCTGCTATATCAATAGGGAATGGTGTCCTAGGGAAGTTTAACAAGGTCTATTTAGTCCAACTTTCTTGGTGACGAGGGGGGAGGTTTCAACACAGCTTAGCGGGAGGGGTACGAGTATCTCTGTTTGCATGTTTGTATAAGTTTATGTTGTGAGAATACAATGACCTTTCCTGAATTCTGGGATAATATTAAATCATTTAGCAATTAGTTTATCTTCTGAATTTATTCTTCACCTCCATGGTAGTGGAGATGGTGATGGTGGTGTCTATGAGGGGGGAGGGGTGGGTTTTTCCCGGTGTAGTAAGCGCATGTTTCTTATATTATCAGTTAATCAACCTGCGGAAATAAACTAGATGACTTAAGGCACTTTTTTAGGCTATTTAATCACCTGATCATCGTTACATCATTCAAAAGAGGGTAGCAGGGGTGGGGTTGGTGTCCCGGTCCCGTTTCATGTTTAAATTTTGACAAATTTCACGTATCACATGCGTTATAAACCATTTTTCACGATCCACGAATTTAGTCATCAACCGAAACCGGAAACCGCTTGAGCATGAAAAGCCCCTCGCACCCCCGTTACTCGTTACTCAAAGGGGTAAAGAACCGAACACCACAGTTATCATGGATCACACTTCGCAGTTCAGTAAGCGAGGGCATCTTCTTTTCTTATCAGCAAGTCGGCAAGGTGATCTTAAAAGGTGTTAAAGAGCACTCGAAACCATCGTCTCATTGACAAATACAATCTATTGGTACGAAACTACCGCTCTATGCGACAAGGAGATAAGTAAAACTCCTCCAGAGCTAGTGCGAATTTATCTTAACAGCAAATTTAAAATCACATTTCTGTCAAGATCAGTAGAAGCTCCTCGGTCTTTTTCTGAGTTCCTTTCGTGTCATTGTATTCCAACTCAACTCTCTCTCCAACACGTAATTCTTTTGTGACATGTTTAAGGGAAGTGTTCCCGCAGAATCCTTTGTGGTGCATTGCATCGCTTTTCCATGCCCAGTAGCCCCTTGTCGCATTACGCTTTGGTCACGTTTCGCACCCAGGGTATCATCTTTGCTAGGCAACTCTCTTGGTGTGCTGATATAGTGGATAAGTTCTCGAGGTTTCTTCCCTTTTGTGCAAATGGCCGGAACTTTTTTGGCATCATTGACTCTTTGACTCCGGTTTGTGTGGTCAGACACTAGGATAACAAATCTCTCAAGCACCGGGGCATAGAGTCTTGAACACCCTTCAAAGTTTCCTAAGGATGTAAAAAGTTTAGTGGCTTCTCCATAAGGCAACCTTGTGGCTCAGGCGGTTTTCTCGTCCTAAGAAAGGGGATGTCTGATTGCATTTTGTGATTGCGTAATAAAAGTACAACATCCTATAACACTTTTCATCACTCCAGAGCCCTTATGATTGCTGTGCCATGTAAAGAACCAGTTGCAGGAGGAAGAACTGGGGTTATGGTGGGTTTTATCGGCACCAGGAGACTTACATAAATTTGAAGTGGATTCTCACGATGAATCTTCGCGACGTCGAATCACAAAGTTTAAAAAGCTATAAAGAGCAGCTCGATTCTGTATGATTTTGCTTGACTGTGTCTCAACACTAGCTCCATCGGTCCAGGATAATCTCAATTATACTTTTTAAAAAGTGAGAGATGTGAGGCTTGTTCACTATCAGTGTTTCTTTCTGTGGCGTTCTTCTAAACAATTGCATGGTATTCACTTAACGCAAGAAAGACTTCGAGAATATCTCTATATGGCGGTAATTCCACACATTGCTGTTATCAAATGTGTCAAAGATTTGTGTTGTGAACTTGCTAACAGTCTGCTAACAGTTACAAAAATCAGACGTCTGATAACAGTTATGTGACATCAGCCGTCTGATGTCACATAACTGTTATCAAACGTTATGTAACATAACATATAAAATCAGACATCAGACGTGTCATGACAGTTATATGACAGCAGATGTCTGCTGTCATATAACTGTTATCACAGTTAACAGACGTTAACAGTTATAACATAACTGTTATACTATAACATAACAGTTATATAACTGTTATATACTCCTATTTAAGAGTATATAAAACAGTTACATAACTGTTATATATATAACAGTATATATAACAGTTACATAACTGTTATATATACTGTTATATAACAGTATATATAACAGTTATATAACTCTCATATATAAGTTATATAACTGTTATATAACAGTTATATAACTTTATAACTGTTATGTAACAGTTATATAACTGTCATATAACAGTTATATATACTGTTATAAAACAGTATCTATACTGTACCGTTATATAACAGTATGTATAATGTGTATAACATAACTGTTATATACTGTTATCACAGTATATAACAGTATAACTGTTAACGTCTATTAACTGTCATAACAGTTATATTACAGCAGACATCTGCTGTCATATAACCGTCATCACACGTCTGATGTCTGATTTTATATAACAGTTATATAACAGTATATATAACATTATATATAACTGTTATATGACAGTTATATAATTGTTATATAACAGTTATATGACAGTTATATAACTGTTATATAACAGTTATATATACCGTTATATAACAATATATATACTGTGTATAACATAACTGTTACATAACTGTTAACGTCTGTTAACTGTGATAACAGTTATATCAGCAGACATCTGCTGTGATATAACTGTCATCACACGTCTGATGTCTGATTTTATATAACAGTTATATAACTGTCATATAACTGTTATATAGCTGTCTGATGTCAAATAACTGTTATCAGACGTTATCCAACATAACATATAAAATCAGACATCAGACGTGTGATGACAGTTATATCACAGCAGATGTCTGCTGTCATATAACTGTTATCACAATTAACACATATTAACAGTTATAACATAACTGTTATATAACTGTTATATAACAGTATATATAACAGTTATATAACAGTTATATAACTTTATAACAGTTATATATACTGTTATATAACAGTATATATACTGTGTATAACATAACTGTTATATACTGTTAACACAGTATATAACAGTTATAACTGTTAACGTCTGTTAACTGTGATAACAGTTATATGACCGCAGACATCTGCTGTCATATAACCAGACCTGTGATGACGGTTATATGACAGCAGACATCTGCTGTCATATAACCGTCATCACACGTCTGATGTCTGATTTTATATAACAGTTATATAACAGTATATATAACATTATATATAACTGTTATATGACAGTTATATAAGTGTTATATAACAGTTATATGACAGTTATATAACAGTTATATAACCTTATAACTGTTATATATATATAAAAGTTATATAACTTTATAACTGTTACATAACAGTTATATATACCGTTATATAACAGTATATATACTGTGTATAACATAACTGTTACATAACTGTTATATACTGTGCTAACAGTATATAACAGTTATGTTATAACTGTTAACGTCTGTTAACTGTGATAACAGTTATATCACAGCAGACATCTGCTGTGATATAACTGTCATCACACGTCTGATGTCTGATTTTATATAACAGTTATATAACAGTATATATAACAGTATATATAACTGTTATATGACAGTTATATAACTGTTACATAACAGTTATATAACTGTTATATAGCCGTCTGATGTCACTGTTATCGGACGTTATCTAACATAACATGTAAAATCAGACATCAGACGTGTGATAACAGTTATATGACAGCAGATGTCTGCTGTCATATAACTGTTATCACAGTTAACAGATGTTAAGTTATAACATAACTGTTATATAACAGTTATATATACTGTTATATACTGTGTATAACATAACTGGTACATAACTGTTAACGTCTGTTAACTGTGATAACAGTTATATGACAGCAGACATCTGCTGTCATATAACTGTCATCACACGTCTGATGTCTGATTTTATATAACAGTTATAGAACAGTATATATAACAGTATATATAACTGTTATATGACAGTGATATAACTGTTATATATCAGTTATATAACAGTTTATATAACAGTTATATAACTGTTAGATAGCCGTGTGATGTCACATAACTGTTATCAGACGTTATGTAACACAACATATAAATCAGACATCAGACGTGTGATGACAGTTATATGACAGCAGATGTCTGCTGTCATATAACTGTTATCACAGTTAACAGACGTTAACAGTTCTAACTGTTATATAACTATTATATACTGTTATGTAACCGTATATATAACAGTTATATAACTGTGATATATATACTGTTATATAACAGTATATATAATAGTTATATAACTGTTATATGACAGTTATGTAACTTTATAACTGTTATATAACAGTTATATAACTGTCATATAACAGTTATAACAGTTATATATACTGTGATATAACAGTTTATATACTGTGTACAACATAACTGTTATATAACTGTTAACAGTTATGTTATAACTGTTAGCGTCTGTTAACTGTGATAACAGTTATATGACCGCAGACATCTGCTGTCATATAACTGTCATCACACGTCTGATGTCTGATTTCACTCATATAACAGTATATATAACAGTATATATAACAGTATATATAACTGTTATATAACAGTTATATGACAGTTATATAACTGTCATATAACTGTTATATCTGCTGTCATATAACTGTTATCAGACGTCTGACATCATATAACTGTTATCAGACGTCTGCTGTCATATAACTGTTATCAGACGTCTGATTTTATATGTTATGTTATATAACTGTTATCAGACGTCTGATGATACATATCCTTTGCTCCTCAACTCGGCACTTTTATTTTTGATAATTGTAAAGATGACAATAGAGTGTGAGAGAGATCAATATATTATTGAAAACAAGAGAAAACCAAAGGTTATGGAGTGAGGGCGACAACGATGGAAGATGAAAACGCTGTTACTCCAACGCTGTGCTTCGCACAAGTTTCACTTGATAGATGTTCCAAACACGCGTGATCAGATTCTAAGTGACCAGAGAAGATCCAGATGCGAGTGATCAAATTGGTTTCTGTGAATTCTATTCATCCTTATAAGTGGAAGTCCAAACGAATACCGGCTACATAGCTGCGATGCATGCATAATAATAACCTGAAGATGAAGACTGCCGGCTACTCTTGTCGCCCGCAATAAAAGTGGTTAATAACTCCCCGTTGCATGTCGTTGAAGGTCTCTGTAAGTGTCTCATGTCTTATTTTTGCGGTAGTTTGGCTGAGCAATTAAATTCCCAAAAAGTGCAATTCACTTGAATCAAAGTGTAAAAATGAAACATCTTATCTTTCCAAGGGTGAAAAACGGCATACTTTTTCTCACAAACGAGAGAGCAAAAAGACCAGCCATTCCTGTCCGCCATGCAGAATTTTTTTGAGTAGCCTGACCTTTTGTTTCTTCCGTGTGCAGTCTTGTTTGTTCCATCAGGAGGTGTCTCAAAAATATTAATGAAGTGTTTTGATGTGTCAGGGGGTGCATCTATAATATTGTAATGCTTCAGAACTCAACTTGCTTCTACGTGGCTTTCCCTTGTGACAAGAATCACTTACACACTCTTTTAAAATAATTTTAGAAAATCTCTCAGAAAGGTAAGTAACAGGTATTTTATAGGGTTACTTTGCACTACTTTGAAGAAAATGGGAATGCAAAAGTTTTTAGGCCGCTTTCTTCCCGTTTTTGAGTCTTTTCCGGACAAAAACAAAAAGGCCCTCCCCCCAAGGGCACAATGTGCCTCCCCCCGTGCATATTTGAGTGGGGTCCATAGCTAAAAATAATTAGTGCAACTAGTACTATCACTGTGCCGACTTTGATGCTTTTATCTCAAAGTGTACAATTCAGTTGTTTTTTTACACCATATGGCTGGACTATTAAAGATACATGGCAACATAGGGTGAACGTGAAGGCATTGTGGCAAGCAAACATTTCTCGCTAGTATGCTTCTTACTTTCATTGACTCCAGAATGGTGGCACACTCCTTCTTTAGCAGTCTGCTGGGACTCTTTGTAGCATAGTTAACACCCCTAAAGGCAAGAAGCGGAGACTGTGAAAATTGTTAACCGATGTATTGAATTGTAGTTTCTGTGTTGAAAAGGTTCCCCTACCCACATCTAGTAAAATAACGCTGCCATAAAGTGACAGGTATTTCATCATTTAACTATGGTTACCGATTTATTGCAAAGGTTAAATTGTTTAATTTTCAAATTGATCAAACAATACAGGCTCAAAACACCAAAGATGGCCTCTGATCTGCTAAATTTAAGAGCAAAGGAGAGTCGACTCCTCTCCCTCAAATGATGTTCGCAATTCACTGAACTCTTTTTACGCTGCACAGTTTTGAAATGCTCCTTTTTCAGCACTACGTACAAACCTCCTTATATCTCCAACCCTGATCGCCATTCTTGCCATTCCGCCTATGCACAGCTCATCATGCTCACGTTTCTACAGAAAATAACAGCTCTTAAATATCGTTCTTTTAAAAACGGAATAAACCAAAAACACAAGTATTCAACTATTACTAGGGAAAATCAAAATTAAAAAAATTGATTACATTTAGCAAACGATGGACACTGATAGAAAACTAACAAAAATACTAGTCTGTTTTGAAGAAAAATAAATACAACGAATTCAAAATACGTGTACTTCGCTGGCTATTAGAAATTCTGGCAGCCTATTGCCTAATCACGCGTATGTTAATTTTCAATGAAATTACTTACGTAAAGCTCGAGACTGGAGATGAAATACAGAGCCACCAAAAAAATGCTTGTAACTTTTACTAGTAATAAAACCACGAGTAAAGTTCTCTCGAACACGGACATGCCGGCGACTAGTTTTCTAGCAAGACAAACTTGGGATTAAAAGCCCATTGAATAAATACCTCAGGTAGCTTGGTCACTCCTTTTTCGTAATGAAGAAGTGCATTGCTATAATCTCCCCTGAAAAGGAAATCAGAAACAAAGCATAAAAGGGCAAGTTTGACGGAAAGAAATAATAGGCCACTTTCGATTTATTAAAATTCAGCATGATAGTGAGTCTAGTCGAAGAGGACACAGAGAAAATGAATAAACAAAGAATAAACAATCATGTTTATTCATTTTCTTTGTTTGTGTCCTCTAGACTCGCTATCATGCTGAATTTTAATATATCAAAAGTGGCCTATTGCGGGTTAGGCTAAATGTGGCTTCAAAAGACTGTTTTTGTCAGAGGAGAAATCAAACTGTCTACCTAATATGTTTGCAAGAGACGGACCACGGAGGGTCTCCAGGGGAAACAAGGAACCCAATACGACAGTGTCATGTATTCATAAGGCGAAGATAATGAAACAACAAAACTCATTGTGGGAGCCTCGTGCCACAAATACGATCCGTTACGAGGTTTGACCATTGTCAAGCGGTCACTTGAAGTTAGAGGAGGCGGCGATCTCTTCGAGAACCTATACCATATCAACTCGATTAAACCTCGCAGTGAAATAAAACAGAAACGTGTTTCTTGTGTGCTTGTTATTTTTTTCTTGCGTTTGATCGAGAACGGAGTTTACTCGAGTAAATTCGAAAACTGGATTGGGTGGGTGGGCGCCAATTATATGAGGGGATGACAAGAGGTGATTGCACAACAAGGTTCGACCGTGATTAGAATTAATCGTGCATTGGTCTTACGTAAACTCTAATTGCTGGGCGTACTCTCTTGAAATGTAAGGAATCTGTTCAGGAGCCAAACTCTTTGCAAGTTCAAGGGCTTGGTCCCAATGAAGGAGATCGCGCCTCATCTAAAATGAACAAAAAATAAAAAATGAATAAATGAAATAAAAATAAAATAAACAAAAATAGAATTATAAAGGTAAACGCGACTAAGAATTGGACCACAGTAGAACCGCGTAAGTGACAGGCATCTATTTAGGGAGCTTAAGCAAAGGCGCTCTTAAGCGCCGCACGTCAACCGGAAGTGAGATGTTTTCTCTTTAAAATGCTTTAGCGCTACCAAGTTTGAAATGCTAAAGGTGTTTTCACGCATAGCAACGATTTGCCGAAATTTTGGGCAAAACCACGGCCCAAAAATGCAAATGGTCTACTTCCGGTCGACGTACGTCGCTCAAAAACGTCTTTTCTTAAGCTCGCTGTTAAAACAAACCGACCAGCTAAAACAACATTTGCTGACTAAAAATAGTTACAAATGTAAATTCATAAAACTAAGAATCAAAACAAATATAGTTTTGTTTACCTCGAGGGCGGCTAAGGGATACGTCGACCCAAGAAACAAATCCTACAGGATCAAAAATTGAAAAAAGACAAGGTTAAAAATTTGAATCCTAAAAACAACTCCTAATCTACTAGAGAAACAAAGACTTTCCAGGAAACCCCAAAAACTAAAACAGAACATGTTACCGATTTTTCAGGTACCTTGTTTTGACCATTCACGAACATCCCATTTTCAAACTAAAGAAAAACTACCAGAATTCAATCCGTTCTTGCCTTCTTATTTAAATTTGTCAATCCCCCTTATAAGGGTAAGAATAAAAATAAAAAGCCTTAATTTGCACAAGAACAATACAAACTGAAAAATTCTGGTAGTAGAGAGAAAATGGTGTTATCGTGCTCAACTGTCTTATTCAGTGGTTAAACGTACGTACGAGGCATACGGCATATGTTTTGCTATTATTATTATTTTTTGTCATTTGACGTGATGTAAATGAGCAACACGTGCTCTTGTACAATGCGCACCTCGGTTTGATAAAGGTACCTCCACAAAAGACACTTGACTCCATCTCTTTAGTAACGCCATATATGAAGTTCGAATCTGGTGGCACTAAATTTACCGAAACTGCGCCGGCAAAGCATGTCTCACCCACAAACGACAAGTATGTACGACCGAAGACGTGGAGTATCTAGACCACATACCTGGGCGGTATTGTATTTTTCAAGAAACATGGCGACGTATCCAGCTAGAAGACTTTTATCTTCTGTACCCTGAGGAAAGAACAACATGAATTAAAAGGGGATTGTAACAGTTGTTGGTGTTTGCCTGAAAAAATAGCCGATATTTCGCGACGCCACCACTGGCTTCCCAATCCTCGCGAAATGACGTCTTAGAAACGACCGCAGAAATTCCATACTGATGACGCGTCACTACCCAGATTTGAGTAGTGCTTCCGATAGGCTGAAGCAAATTTCCCACGCGGAGCGACCAATCAGACGCAACACCTAACAATGCCTTTGTTATATGTTTTTGTAATCTTTGTTGGACTTGGAACAATAGAAACGTTTCATAAATTTATTCACATATGTGTGAACAAAAAAGACAAACAGACAAAGGATTATGCACGGTTGAGGAGCTTCCAACAGAAACAGCAGCACCGTTTTTTTTTTATCCTTGATTTTCTGCCGACTTTCATAACCAGTCTCCTCTACTGACTATGGTTTGTCCCTTTATTACCGTAATTATAAATCAGGCAAGTTGTCAATTACTTCGTACCGAAACTGGGTAACATTCATTTCAAGAACACTTGCTTGCGTGCGAGTTTATGTTAGAGAGCGTTAGATATGAGAATGAGAACGACCAAGAGTGTGAGATTTGACTTAAAGTGTTTTCGCGTATTCTCAAAAAATAGACACCCCGGAAAGCTTCATTGTACTTTTGATTCACCAGAAAAGTTAGCAATGTTATCTTGATTGGAGGAGGTTAAGGGTTGGGAAGACTTGGTGGCTTTTGCTGTATTTGATACCTGAATTCCTTCCAAGGACTGTACCATTGCCACATCTCCCATCTTACGAAAAACTCTGATTGCTGAAGGAACAAAAAAAAAGGAGAGGCTGATATTAATAATCATGAACAAAAGTCTTAAGATAAATTTAAATAGGTTTTCTCTAAATTACACATGCCCAGCCCTCCTCCCATCCCGAAAAACACGTGTGTATCGACAGTGTTTTCCGAGTTTCAACATTGTATAGGGTGGTGGAGGAGAACCAGCAAGGTAGTCTTGAAAGGGTTGCACTGTTTTATGGGGGCAACTACGAATTACAGGAAATTACGAATGCTGCATCACTTTGCCAAGAAGGTTCGTCTAATATTAATTTATAACTTAGCTTTGTTCCCAATGGCTGTCTGTCGCAGAAAGAGCAGCCTGTAGCCTATAAATGACGACTAACAACTTGTTAATTTTACAGTCAACGGATACCACCCGAAAACAGACACCTAGATGCGGATTTTGAAAAATGCGAAGGCCGAGCACAAGCAGTTTATCAAGTAAATGACTGACGAGGTTAACGTGAAACAAACTCATATGAGTAAAACGTACACGAATATACCACGTAAAAGAGGGCTATATGCTGTAAGTATAAGACCGGCAATAAAACGGTAATTAAATCGTGTTAACGCTCTTCGGTTTTGTCCATGCTTGCTCCTAAATTACCTTTACTTTAGTGATTAGGCCCTGGAGTTGCAAAATGCCAAGAAATGCCAAAGAACAAAAACAAAACACAGAATATGAAATATGAACTATTCCTGTACACAAGCACAACACTTTCCGGTTTATGGGGCTGAAATTTTATTGAAGCACAATAAGTAGAGCTTAAGATCCGATTCCTTAATAAACTAATTTTTAGGCTGCCCTATGCGCAATCGCCATCTGTGCAAGACCAACTGTAAGCAACTTTAGATTCTGAATTAACGACAGTGCTTGTAACCCAGTTTTGTTCAACGCAGGCTAACTCTGTTTCATTAACCACACATGGGTTTTTACCATAGTTACTCACCCAGTTCAATGTCTAAGTGATAGACTGCCTCATGACCGAGCTTGCTCCATGCTTCCTTTGAGTCAAGAATTCGAGCTAAAGCCCACGCCTCCTTAAATCTGAATCAAAACAAAACGTGAACGAATTCTTAAAATTACACACGTTGCAAAATACCAGTTATAAATACGTTAAATTGAGGGCAATGGAATACACGTAATAGACTAGATCGCCGAGAGGGGGCTTTAGAAAAAGGTGCCTGGAAAAGCATCACTAGATCATACATGATGTGGCAGGCATATCGATACTGAACTACTAATTCATTTGGCATATGTAGATTAGGCCCCTATAAAACGGATCAAACGTGTTTGTTCAGCATGTGGAAGGTATGAGATCCTTCCTCCCTATGTAGACTGAAGGCCGAAGATGAAGCCGATTAAAACCAATCTGAATACCACTTACACTTTCAAAAACAGTCAACCAAGGGTTACAATAGCTTCAGCGGGCTTTGATTTTATCAGGAAGTCCACTTAGCTATATACACGTTTTGTGTAGATCACGAGGGCCTGGAATTAGTGTGTAAATGAGTATATCAATTCAAAACGAAAAATGACGAACTAAAGGTTACCTTTTTAATGTCAAGCAGTGGTCAAAACAAGTCTGAAGCTTTGGAAATAGAGGAAAAAATGAAAGTAATAAGTTAAAACTGTAAGATCGATGGAAAGTCAAAAGGACCTCGCTCTAACGCTGTATTTCGCGCAAGTTGCACTTGATGGAAGGTCCAAACGAGCGGATCGGATCACGAAACATGAAAGAACCAAATGTGTGCTATCCGATTATGACCCATGCATTCCATTCATTCTTAGTGGTAGACAAACGAATGCTGGCTACATACGCGCCACGCATGCGTAATAGCAACCTTGAGACTAGCAGTGCGGGCGACAGAGGGACCGAGTCCACAAACGCTATAACTAACGGCTGGAAGTCTCAGAAGTACATTTTTAACCTAGCTCACATTTTTTACTGCAATAGTTATATTTGCATACTCCTGGAACGAAGACAAAGAAAATCACTGCTGTGAAGCACTTGGAAATGCGAACGCAACTACCATAATATTTTGCGCAATCTTGCTCTTAAGTTTTCTTTTCCAGACCGAGTGTTTCACTCGAAACCCATCACCTCATAGTCGTTTCTTGACTGCGTGTCATTCTGACTAAACCTTCTCGAAGTCTTGATATCAAAACATAAGAATTTTAATTTTGGCATCATGGTTAACTTACTTCAGCCCGAGGAAGGTCTTGAGGTTTCTCGTGAAAATAGTGAGTGGTAAGGTTCAGTTTGGATGTCTGCAAACAAAAGACATTAAACACAGAACTGATCAATTGTAATAAACGAAGAGCCGACTTAAAAAGCAATGTTGTTGCCCAATGCAATTCAGTTCAACGCGGCCGTCGGTCAAGTCATAATTGACCCTGGTAAACTTTTTTGAAAATATAATTTGAAATGGTGCAAGAAATTGTGATAGGTTATTCACCGCTAATGTCCGCAAAATCATTATTGAAATTTACTTAAAAGGCGACGCGGATGGGCATTCGAAAGTCATGCTGGGAGACGTGGTGCTATTCTATTATTGCGGTCCGCAAAACGTGACGAACTGGTCTTACCTTTCCGCTCTGCGTTTGACATGTAATTTCACCACCGTAGAGCATCAAAGGCTTTTGAGCATAGGGAAGCTTGGTAGATCCAGCTAATATGCACTTTGGTCCTTACATAGAAAATAACAAGATAACACGTCAAAAAGGACGATACTTCAGGTATTGATACAGGGAAGTACAGAAAAATATGCGAGTTCTTGCAACAGCAGCCGAATCTACAACCTTTTGGTCATTTGTCGAAATGCTCTACCACAGAGCTACAAGAGACTCGTGGAAGCTAGAACCATTAAATTAGTTTTATCTGACAAATAATCTACATACTGCTAGCGGATAATTCACACACAAATAACAATTTTCCCAAAGTCAGCTTTCCCTCAGTGCGTGCAGTTGCCGCGGGTTGCAAAAACGTCCTAATAAGACACTCTTAAAATGACCGATCTTAGACAATTTTGATCATTTAGGTTTCAGGGAAACTAACCACCCACCCCTCCCCTAAGCTGCCATTTTGCCCAAAGTGACAAGTAAGTGTTTATGTTGATTAAAGGGAGGGGTAAGCGGATAAGTAGGTGGCCAGTTTCCCATAATCCTAAATTGATCCAAATTTTACCGATAACTGTGTCCCTGTAAAATATGTACGTGTACACCTTGTCTTCGTCATATGCACAGAAAATCTCCTACAAGAGAAATAGATTTGACTGATTTAACAAAATCGCCATGAGTTGGTGAGAATAAGCCATTTGCACGATGGCGTCATTTTACTTGTAGTACCAGAAGGCTTCAGTGTTTTGCTTTCTTGTGCAAATTAGGGCTTTTATTGTGGTAAACCTCACTAGGATTGCCAAATTTAAATATGAAAGGAAGAACGACATCGATTCTGATTAGTAATGGTAGTAGTGGTGGTGGCGGTGGTAGTGGTAGTGGTAGTGGCAGTGGTAGTGGAAGTGGAAGTGGAAGTGGTAGTGGTAGTGACAATTGTAGTGGTAGTGGTAGCGGTAGTAGTAGTAGTAGTAGTGGTAGTAGTAGTAATCTATTCCACAACACTCTCATTCGTGCTCACTTTAAATAAGATATGGGAATAACATTGCTCAGCGGTCTAAGACATGCTGGAACAGCTTGGCTTAGGGTTGCAGACCCACGTTCGTTAAGACATCGAGTCTCCAGGAATTATATTATTATCACACGCTTTACTATCGCCTATCATTACGAGTGTTATGAATAGTAAAATGACGCCATCATGCAAATGGCCTATTGCTGTCTGGTCGCAAGAGCTGCAGGGTAACACAAAAGGCAAAAACGTACCTTATCCAAGGGCCAGGTTTCCCAGACAATCCCTTTGATACTAGGAGAAAAATTTGGAATTTCGAACGTCGCATCATTGACCTAAAAAAAGAAGAATTACGTAAAAGTCTGGATCAGACTGAAACAGAGGCCAAACCTCGAAAAGAAAATGTTTTTATCTCAATATAATTTTTCGACATCACAAATCTCAAACGTTTTGGCTCTTACTATACAAAATATGACTGATGGCTCAACAAATGAATACTTACAGGATTGTACACGAAGCCATCCGTCTTTTCATCGATAAAAACGAGGTAGGTCCCACTAAAATCTGGGAAAATCTTTTTTATACCTGTAGAAGCGTATAAGTATACCTGTTTTAGTTTCAACTACCACAGTAAAATTATGCATCACAATCATCATCTCACTCATCAACATTACATCATTACAAACAACCTCATCGTCAACGCCATCATCATCCAGTTGTCTTACCTATCGTCATAGCATTTTAATCAACATCGTTAACACCAGTATCACGATCTTCATTGTCACAACATCGCGATCAATACCGCCACTGTCAACGTCACCAATAATGTCATCCTCATAGCATCATCACCCCCATCGTTGGCTTCTATCGTCACAGCATAGTCATCGTCACCACCATCCTATCCGCTATCACCATCGTCATTAACATTATCCCAACCATCGTCATCACCATTGTTATAGCATCGTCATCGACACTATCGTCGCCGCTATCATGAATCTTAATCGTGTTGAGGTGCTGCATAATGAGTGAACAAACAATTTCCATCCTGGTCTGTTTCAAACTAAACTATCTTTGTTTACTTTCAGCCCCTCCAACTTATCTCGAGCAGAGATATAAACTTTTTCCAAACTCTTTCAAAGTACAGTTATTCTAATCTCAACATAAAAATAGGCATCTTCTTACCAACTACATGTCTGAATTCATTCACAAACTGCCAGTCCTCAATAAAGAAATAAAACAGGCTTCCATTCTATGGGAACAAGGGATACAACTTGACTTTAAAATCACGGAATAAATGTGAAAAATGAGAGAGACGCAATATCATGGTTAAGGGAGGTGTTTAAGGGAGGTTTAAAACTAGGCGTCAGTCAAGATTGCATGAAAATTGTGGCCGTAAGATTCACTCAAAACGTCTTTTGTCCGCAAAGCAATATTTTAGAAAACAACCCTTCTACATATGAAATTAGTATTTGACTTCCTTAACACCAAATTCTGATAGCAGTGATCCAGGACCATAAATTAACGAAAAAAAGGCTTATTGTCACTTACATCCGTGCCATATATCAGAAAATCGGACGTCAGTGCACAGCAAGTAACTCTTCCTTGGTTGCTTTTATCTGGGAAAAGCCTTGTCTCTCTTTCATCAGATGCATCCATAACCTCTCCTTCAACCTGTGCATGGGAAATGAAAAATATGACTCAGCCATCCTCCTCTGGCATGAGAGGGTAAATGTTTTGCCAGCGGTTGCAGTAATTTTCTGCCACACCTATTCTTGTCAGTAATGAAAAAAAAAATTAATAAATTTCCTTTACTTACCCTACGGCTACATGTAGGTAGTATTAATAGCACTAATGTTAGTGGGGCTTAGAGAATGCCTGAGGCAAATAATTTAAATCAAACATAATGGAGTTAAGAATGCCAGGCCAGAGACAGACAAGTTGGATATTTACAACTCGGGACTAACGGAATGAATCCAACCTAGCGGTAAGGGCGGGACTTAAATTCGGGGCCACCGAATTGCAAGTCCAGCGCTCTAACCGCTCGGCCACGCTGCCTCTGTCCACCAAGACATTTCCATTGAACACCATAGACGGTGCACTCACTTTGTTCCCCGATTATTTTCACCTTTGCTGAAGATCAACCTGAAATGCTTTTGCTCCCTGACCTGTTTTATGGATCACTCCCACATACTCCATATAAGAAAGCCTTGCTTAATAGGAATGGGTTCTCAAATCTCAGCGGTTCTGTGATGAATCAATGTGACCTGTACTTGCCAAATGAAGTTGAACTTTTCCCTCAAACAAGACAGCTGCGTAATCAGCGTTGAGATAAATTGCGTTCACAGTGCCCAGGTATTCTCTGTCTTTCACCTTCTCGGGACCTGACGTAAGTGAAATACAAAAGAACAGTTCTTGTATGAATATTACAAACGCTGTGATTGGTCGTTACCATTGACCTGTCAGAGTATAGACACGCGGCTGACGTCACAGAAACACTGTTGACAACACAACATTGTCCAACATGGCGCGCAGTTTTGAAAATACTACCAGATTATTCTGGCTTAGCAATTGAAGACGTCGAAAAAGGTTAGCAGAAGTCAACAGTCTTACTACACGTGCATTGCTGTTTGAGTCTTACTATTACTTTTGAAACTGTCATAAAGATCAAGGCTGTAGATTGTAAGCGACTCTGCCCTCACGGTCCGACACAATTATTCACTGGAGGACAAGAGGGAGGTACTTATATCCGGGAGAGTTTCCAGGACCCATTTTAAAGAGAAAGTAAAAATTCCTTTTGAACAAAAATTGACACAAAATAGAAATATCTAACCACACTCACCTTTGTCAGCTAATGAATAAAACCATGCGCGGTTGTTCATACCAGCAGCCAGATGGTAGGGCCCAAGAGCTACAAAGCTTGGCTCCACAATGATATCAACACTTATGGGTCTCTCCTTTAGAAAACGGAATATTTTAAGGCAAAGTGATACAGACATTGTAACGACAACTTTGCAGTTTTGAAACACAATAACAACACTGAGGTAGATCAATCTTGCCCAAACATCACATAATCAATACCAATACAAGCACTTTTCAAATTCTGGCAAACATATTCACTACATGTTGACGCACCGAGACATGTGTCATTTCAATTTCACAGGACTAACGAAAAAGACGAAATATTATCTGACCTGCATCACGTTGTCCACAATCGTCACCTACAGTTAAACCAAAGCAACAAACATTAACTTGCTTATTAATAATTACAATAAGGCTGACTACACCAACGAGCAAGATGGACCTATCTTACCCGCTTTGTCCCGCAAGGGATGATTTCGTTCAAGCCATCTCATAAATTTTTTAACGACCTAGCCGGTTCCGTCAAGATAAATGTGGCAGGATATTGGCCTCCTGCTTTATGGACCCCACCTTTGTCTCGACCGTGAGACAACGGTAACAAAAATCGGGTAATCTCTATAAGCCATCAGGACTACACGGTTGGCCAAATAACGCTTCTTTACAATACAAACATGTATAGGGTCATAAGAAATTTTTCGCCACAAAATGATAAAAATGTTAATTTGAGGATTTTCAGTGACTGACATCTTTGTTTACTTGCTAAGTCACTACAATGCCTTAACACCACTGGCTGCATTTTTATCGTGGCTCTCGCCAAGGTATTCATATCGCACTCGTGTGAAAACGTTTACGAATCCAAGGCCACTTGATTTTTACATCTTTAGTTGGTAATTTCTTTGAGGGACAAGTGCATTGTTGGTCTTGGATGCCAAAGCTCAAAAAATGACCTAAGTTGAAAATTGTTCCTCTACATGCACCTCTCTTTACTTGCACTGGTTCGCACTCACATTACAGTTTAGTTACCTCACTACCACACCCTTTTCAATACAAAAACAGAGGCTGCATAAAAAAAAGAAAATTCGTGGTCTTCCTTGATTTATTAAATTACTTTTCTGATTTAGCACTTGCATTTTACAATAGGCATTTTCACTGTTGTGTGTTCAGAGGAGCCCAAGCACTTGAATAGAGTTGAGGGTGGAGGTGACGTTGTTTTGTTACAAACGTCCTGTTTTTCACCTGCAAATGATAATGTTCACCGGCTTGTTAGCATGGGAATATCAAAGTTAATTTGCACATGAAAAGAGGGGTGTTTTTTTAAATTACTACTCAAAGGCAAAGGCACTGAGCACTCAAATGGCCTATTCTTCTCTTTCTTTCACAGAATTACCTCTCTAAGAGAAGTGAGATAGGATATCCTTGTGCCGTTAGCACTTCCAAGAACGGGCAGCTTTGTAAGGTAGATATGAATGGCACCTTTAAAGGGAAAACAGCAAATTTTAACATGAACAGCTCCAAAGATAATACTGTGGCAAAAAACACTGTTACAAGAAACCGTTGTTTAGCAGTGGTGATCCATACATAAGTCACCTGCAAGTAGCAGAGTAACTGGTACTTTTATCGGCCGTTTTTGACGAAGAAATAACTAAGGCGAAAGGATCATTTTCCACTGTTTCAACCTAAAATCCTTGTTGCATACAATACTTTGCAATGTTGTAAGTCCGAACCTCGCCCGCACGCAGGACCGTAATGTTTTCCATCCATAGCACTATTAAAGGGGTTAATCACCACTGCAAATAACGCGTCTTAATTTGCTAAGAAACTTAACGTTAGGAAGGAATTTACTTGTAAATGACAAGTTCACAGTTTAGTATCACAGTGATTTATCTCTCAAAACACTACATCAAACGATACAAACAACAAAAATGAACTTTGAAAAACCGCAATTCCAATTAATCTTCTTCCAGATTGTCTATCTACGTCCTCTTTTGTATTTGCTAAGTTATTCATACTTTTTTTAATGCTTTGAGGGGTTATTTTTTTGGTGCAATTCACTCAATTCATGGCAGAACTACTTTAATGTCATGCCTTTTTAGATAACTATAAGTTAAGGAAAATGCATATAACTATTTACTTTTCTGCAAAACATTGCCATAAAACTTTAAACAAGGAATTTACAGAACGCTGAATATTATTCTCCTGTGACGACAAGTTACCTGCACGCATAAAATGAAAGTAAAGTATTGCACATTACATTATCGTTTTACTCGTTATCATATCGGTTTAAATCTTCAAAAAGGGACTTTCGACCACTTTTTGGTGCTTTAGAGTAGATAATATGCGCATATATTTTACTCCTTGCTTTGCACGTCCATTTTCAACCGAAATCCAATAAGTGAGAAGTGCATTTTTTCCAAACCACTCGCCTCATTTATTAGTTCTTAAGACATGACCTCTAGCTTTCTTGCATTGTGATAACGTTTTCTTGTAAATATTTCCTTGAAACATTTCGGCGATACTACTTACATCGATGTTCTTTTCATTCACCTTTCATAATTATTTACCTAGTTGAGTGCTAACAGCAAGAAGTTGGCCATCGTCTGTCCATGAAATCTTGTCAAGACGCCCTTTAGAAAAAATAATACATAAAATGAAACAATCATGAAAAGACACGAGCGACAACAGTGGCATGAAATAGTGGACTCCGGCTGAAACAACGGAAGATGAAATATGAATTTGAGTCTAACATGACAGATGACAAGAGGAAAGATGACTACATTTCCGTTTTTATGGTCTGCTCCTGCGTTAATGATGAAGAGAGACGCATAGAACACAGCGAAGAGATGATCACTTGTATTCTTGCAAATAATTAAACTGCTATTCTTAACTTGTTGTGCAATGGTGTTGCATTGAACTGTGAGATGTAAGTTTACCTGTTGCATTATTATAAACTACAAGCAAGAGAAATTATCAAGATCCTGTCACATGAGAACGTTTACCCTGAGAAAACAACCGACATTTGGCGACGCCATCACAGGTTTTCTCGCGAAATGACGTGAGAAACGAGCGCAGAAATTCCATACTAATGACGCGTCTCTACCTAGATTTGGGTAGTGCTTCTGACTGGTCATGCAACGTAGAAAATTTGCTTTAGCCAATCAGAAGACACAACCCAAGAATTTCTGCGCTCGTTTCTGAGACTTCGGTTTGCGGGCAAACCAGTGGTGGCGTCGCGAAATGTCGACTGTTTTCTCAGGCTGCTAGAGAATGTTACAATACATGCTGCAAACAATCTTAACTTGCAACACAGCATTGCTGAAGAAAAACGTTCTTTTTTTTCTTGCTCAGTACGAGCAAAAGCAAAACCAATACGTTAGCTTCACCAGTTTGCATGTTTGAAGGCTTGTGATTGCATTGCATTCATTAACCTTGACTACGCATTCTACACTAAGTTACCTCCTGCATCCTCTAGAGTGATAATAGCATAAATCTCCTTCATCTCGACTAAGTCATGAATCTTCACACTGAAACAAAACACAAGTTCAACTCTCTTAACTTGCACAGAGGCCATAAATGAATCATACATTCATACGTTAACTGATAACAGTAGGTAAGATGTAATACAAAGGTACTCTCAATTCCTGGTAACTACCAGTCTAATTGATCTGCCGCCTGGTTATGACGTCCGACGACAGATAGGATTTTGTCGGGCATGCACAGCTGAAAAATTTCTTTCTTGAAAGGACACTTTTCCGGCTAATTCACCATTGAGCCCCACCCCTCCCCTCTCCATCAGTATTTAAAGTTACTTGAAGCTAACACGGAAAAGAATCGAAGTCGAAACAGGGATTATAAGGCCGCGCACTGACCGATTTACTCCTTGCTCTTTCATCGGATATCGTACAATGAACACCTCAAATTTGTATGCCTCGTACACATTTCACATCCTTACCAATTGTCACCGCAGGACGCAGCCTTATTTAGCTCCAGAGACATTGCTACACCCGTCAGTTCATCCTTGTGGTCTCTTGTTTGATATAATTCCTTCATTGAAAAAAGAAACATATAAATGTAACAATTTACAGTCAAACCGGGTCAAGCGTTCCCGTCACTAGCAAACTAATGAATTCATTAGTGGAAAAATGATTTCGTTTGTTGATTCAATAATCCATTCATAAAATGAATAACCCAACAGTCAAATTGGACCTCGATTCAATAATTGAATGTTGATTTGGTTTATGAACAAAATCTACCTGTTCTTTATTCTTGTCTGTTGAGTTCAATCGTATTTGCTTCCTTTTTCCTTCCGTTTGCGATTGCGTATTTAATTGCCTTTAATCAAAACAGCTAGAAGAGACAGTCTGCAAACGCAAAGAAACTGACAAAGGCCGGGGATCGAAATCCACCAATCACTGCACGTACACTGACCTCAGTTTGACTATCGTGTTTTCTAAGAGGTCAGGTCCGTTGCATTGATTACTGGAAGCTAAATGGCGTACACGTAACAGTTTGTTTGGGTATGAACTTCAGAACTCGCCCGCACTCGACTCTTAGGAAAAGAAGAAGAAGAAAAAAGTGTAGTTTTTCAAAAAACAGTAATCGAATCAACATTGGATTATGGAATCGAGGCTAAATATGAATATTGGATTGTTCATTTTATGAATGGATTATTGAATCAACAAACGAAATCATTTTTCCATTAATGAATTTATCAGATCGTTAGCGACGGGAAAGCTTCACCTGGTTTGACTGTAAATTAATTTGAGGTTAATTTAGATTTGAAGTAAGACTATTCTCAATTTCCTTTGTCTCCTAGCTTTCGGAGACAAGGACTCGAGTACGTAGTCGCACTGTAAATTATTATAAAAGGGGTAAGCAGTACTGCATTATACGTTTCTGGGAAACTGCCCACCTACCCCATCCCTAAGCCAACATTTTGCCCTTAGTGAGAATTAAGTGTTAATGTTGGCTTAGGGGAGGGGTAAGTGGGCAGTTTCCCACAAACGTATAATGATCCGTAGTACCTGTCCTATCTCTTTAATATGGGTGGAGATCACCACAAAAAATCCATTTGAAAATCCAAGCATAATATAACCATCACCAAACCTGCAAGGAGGAAAGGAGAGAAATGCGTCATTGAACTTCATTGATTAAGTTAAATCACGTAGCTGTAGATAATCATAACCAAAAGAGTA